AGTTTCCGGTCTCTAAGCCTCCCGAGATGGCGGCGGCACAGCTGCGCCCGCGAATTAATTAAAATTTATTTCAATCGACTCGGGGCACCGTTTACGTCCCGCCCTTGGCAACGGGTAGGGAACAGTCGATTCGTTTAAATTTGAAATTTAACTCGCGTCACCGTCACCGTCAGGGGCTTTTCGGTACGAACTTTCTCGTCCACGGATGACCTGAAATTCCGGCGCGCGCCCCGACGCCGGGACGCTATGACATTCTTGTTGAAGGTTTCCCTTCTGCCGCGAGAACGTTCGTCCCCTTGTTATGAAATATGTAAGAAAGCAAATGAATTCTCCGCTCCAGATACACGTCGGATCCTGGTGAATTACTTCGTACAGAATTTCCGCGTTCCTTCCTGCATTTTTTAGCGGCGACCGCTTCGGCTCGTTCAATCTTCGCGACGATGACGGACTGGACGACTCGTTCCACCGCGAGCTTCCGCAATTCGGTACCGGCAAAACCATTTGATCGCGGACACGGACAGTGGAACTTCCGTGTTTTCCACGACGGAGAGAAAAAGAAAATAACGCGCTCGTTAGTACAGTTTTTCCGGGTGTTTCGGATCGCACGGACCTCGAAGAACGAGACCGTCGAACGCGATCCTTTCATTATAGGATTCATTAAAGTTGTACAAATTTTTTACAGTCGCATTTTATGAAGATAATTCTTCTGCTTGTAGAAACTTCACACTGATTCTGATGAAAAAGAAAGCCGGAAAGCGTAGTTCGCTTTATCATTATTTTACATATTTAAATTGGATGTTTAATTCATGAACACCCGGACTGGCTAATTTTATGGCTGTATTTATAAAGTAATATAGTACCCCGATCTTTTAAAAAACAAATCAGATGTGGTTATTATCTCTGCTTTGATTATAAATTGTAATCTATTATGGATTTTATAGAATGCATTTAACGTACGTGCGGTAATACAATTGATCTATGATCTACTGGACTACAGGCACAACATCCAATTTATTCAGTGCCATTTCTAGATGTTTCATTACAATTCCACACATATAATTTAATGCACAACTACCCCCGTCGTATTCAGTTTAACATCAATCCAACGAGGATTTCTAAGACCACCGAAATAAAAAAAGTATCGGAAACCACCAGCGTGGATTCTAATCCTTCAATTATTTTACGATCTCCTGTACCCTGTACCGAGACTGGATCAGATCTTAAAGCCTCCGGTGTTCCACGGATCCCCATCACACGTTACATTTTACGCAAGCTTCGATTCTTTTTTAGCTTCTTTAGAGCCCCCCTTAAACGGCTCGATGGGATTATTCGCGCATCCCCTAACCCCAAAACATCCCCCCGTCGGTTTCCTCTGCGTTGTTCGGAATCCGGGTTTACTGCGGATGAAAACTTGGAAACTTCTCGTCGATCGTATCGCGTACCCGCGATTCCATCTAGCCAAATAGCTCACGAGATTAGAAACGCGAAAATTGTGATGTGTTCCGAGGTTGTCTCGACATCTCAGAGCGGAGCGTGAATGTTGCATACAGAGTGGAGCATTTAATACCAGCCACGACTCTTCTACCTTTAAAGCGAGAAATTAACTTTCGAAGCAGAAGTCTTAGACAACCGAAATACTCTCTTCCATCGTGCTCGTGGCGAGGTCAAAGGTCGCGTTCCGCCCACCGTGCCACCGTGCTTCCATCGCGAAGTTATTAAACGGGGAATTATTTAACGTCGCGTCGAAACGGTACGCGTTCAAAACTTCGAAAAACGTTAGATATCGTGGAAAGTTCCCTTATCCCGAGAACGTCCCGGAGGCTTAGGATCGAAACTCGAGGATCTTTCGTGATTCCGAAAGGGTCCTGTCTTAATTACGTCCCGCAGTTATCCCTTCTCGCCTGTGTTTAGCGAACATTCCATTGTAGCCTGAACCTGAAACTCGGATTTCACGAGTCCGTGGTATCGCGTTGCAGCGTTTTATTTATCTCCCGGTGTACTATTGTTTTACACGACACGCAAAACGGCTGGATTTTAATCCAACCCGGGCCTCCCGAAATGACATTTGAATTGCAGATGAATGGGAAAGGTTCCGCGAAAAGTTGAAATTTACAGAGCGACGCGACGCGTTCACGGATCGAAACGTGCACAGTTTTTAAAAATATAAATTCGCGACAAATTGCAAAAATTACGGACAATCGAGGACGCGACTGGGGGATCGCTGACAAAGAGAAACGCGCATTGTTTACGCGGACGGTCATCGACAGAAGTGCCCGCTAATTAAAGAACTACATTCGTATTTCTCCGCGCGGGTCGTCGAGTTATTCGCGTGTTTTCAGTACCTGCGAAACGTACGATTATTTTTACGTCGATGAATATTCGCAACCGGTCGCGCATTCCGCGGAACATAACAAGAATTAACGTCCCGTCGTCGTAAGCGCGCGACAGAAATTAGATAAAGTCGAACTGTCGCGTCGCTACAGAAACTCATAACGAATTCGATAACCTTCCGCTGTCAGTTACCCTGTCAAATGTCGTTCTGCGATAAAGAACAAGGGTGCTGGAAGGAGGAATCAGTGTCTTCGATTCGTTCGTCGACAGATTGTTCGAGAAAGTGAAACGAAAGTCAAAGAACTTGGGTAATAAAAAGTTTGACGGACTTGGAAACGAGACGGCTCTCGCGCAAATAGAAAAATGTTTGCCGGGCCAATGAAATGTTCAACAACGTATTGGAAGTTTTCTTTGGAGATCATAGACAAATCGATAGCATCTTTGAACTTTGTTCTGCATCGATTCGTCTTTATTAAGTCTCGTTAATTTTTACACGCCACAGTTTCAAGAGAAACGCAATTTTTCACTGTCTAAATTACGAAAGTAAACATTTTCTCTGCGAGTAAATAGAGGAATATTTGAGAGGCTCTTCGTCTGGAGTTTATGTTAGACGAACGTTGCGTCTAAGTTTCACGAACGTTTCAGTTTGCATCTTTGGGGGGCTAAGAGGCTCTGATATCGAGAATAATTTGGACTTCTCGTCCGGTGTCTTCGGTCGTTAATTATCGAGACAAATAAATAGCCGTTATATTCCACGGTATATTGAAGCAATTTATCATTGGCGCAAAATTCTCTCCCGTATTTTGCAACTTTTCTTGCCGACGATTCCAGCAAGATGACACGCTCGAGTAATTTATTCGATACAAGGGTGGATCCCTCGGAAATTCGGCCCACGGCGTAGCATCTTTTCTGTTTCACGGGACGGAAACGACGCCCGGGAGTATAGAGAGGACACATTCTGAATTCAGGATTCGAGTTTCGCGTCTCGTTAACCCCGCGAACTAGACGCGATCAATTCTGGTTGGAATTTTGCTCGAACGGAACTCGAGCTCGCTGCGCGAATCCGTTCCGAAGCTCGAGGTAAACGAGAAATTAGGCGTCACCGCGTGCCCTGTCGCGGCTGGAGGGTGGATATTTTATTCGTTAATAATTAAGGTCGCTTAGTCGAACGCGAGAATCGGTATTCAAACGTTGATACGACCGCGAAGTGCTTGTCAATTCCTGGTCACCGCGGACCCGGGTAGAATTAGCCTCGATGTAGATTGGGATTCTGTCTGCGGTCGGTTCGCGCAATAATATTCAAACGGCCCTCTTCTCTGGTCGAGTATCGATTTTGCGCGGCTCGAAAGAACGGGAGCGGTCGAATACGATATAATTGAATCGAAGCAGCGACGTATATATACGCGGAACACCGTGCTCCGATGTTCGACAAACTTTTCCACGGATATTTTCGATCGACGGAAAGCACCGCTGCCGGAATGCGTACTTTCGGGCTTCCCGGCGTACGATTAAAACATCACTGTTTCTTTGAACACGGGATATTAAAAAGTGCTTAATAGAATTTCTAAAACCTCGAAAGTTCAAATCCAGCAGAGCTATTTGGCGAACAACGCGCCATAAAAAATGGTGCACGTTTAGCGATCGAAGCATCGGAGAATAATTGAATAAATGGAAGCCTTTTGGCCAAGGATCTCCAGGTTCGTGGCAGTGCCACCGGGAACCTTCCCTCGATTAAATACATCAAATTATCGGACCTGGAGACCCACATCCGAGAAACCATAAGTGAAACGTGACGCCTTGCAAGCTCGGATCGCCTCGTTCCTTTCGCGAAGGGAATTACTTTCTGCGGCTATTTTCCCGGAAAAGTCGTGTTTGGCCGGAGTGCTGGTCCTCGTATAACTCAGCTTTTACGGGCCAATGAAAAATGAATCGACGGTTTCGAACGGCTGGTCGAAATCCCGATGCGTGCAAGGGTGTGTCGACGGATAACCAGGTCGGTCGATCTACGCTCGAAAGGGGTAGAACATTACATTTCGAAGCGACGGGCCAGGTTTCGTCTTTCGATGCCGCGAAATTAAATCTGCGATCGTTCTGTACCGTCGTTCTACTCGGGAATTTAATCTCGTCAGAACCAGGACTGTTCCGAATCGCCGAATTCGACCGACGAGTAAACGCTGACGCGGCCACTCGAGGCGGACCAAATGTTCGAATCGATAAGGAGAGTCGATACTCCGACAAATTTGATCGCCTTCGATGACGAATACCTGGCGCGGGATTACATCGAGCCGTTATTCGCGGGAATTAGCGTCGCTTGATGGCGTGTATTAGCTCTTGTTTACAGTTTCGAAAGAATATCCCGGGGGCCGGGGATGGCGAGCTTCCGTCGAAAACGAGGGCGCGTGTACCTCGATTATTGCGTATTATCGATAGTCCGGCAGCCGAAGTAGGGAACAATGCACCCGGCGGCCCGTCGAAACCGTTCGCGGCGATGAATCGCCAATGAAGTTGACTATCGGAAGCCAATACGTCGGGACGAAACGTAGGTCCGAGCAGTTGGCAGAATTTCAACAGAAGGGTTCGACAGCCGGAAGAATATAAAGCCGCGGAGCAAGCCGTGCATGCAAGCGACACGAAACACGCGATTAATCGGGTAAGAGCGGAAACCGTACCGTTTCGAAAGCTCGTTCCATCGAGAACGCGAACGATCCGTGTCCCGCTTCTGCGTGTTTTACCTGGGCACGAGCGATCTACGCGCTGGAAATTCGACGGGATCCGCGCGTCGTGTGCGTTTTCTCGATGGTAGCGAGGCTAGACATCCGGCCGTTCATCGTATCCTCGAGCAGGACTATCCAGACCGAGTGGGTTACAGTCTTTTATCGGTTTCACTGGATTCGCTGGAAGACGTTGTATCACATTTCGACCGTATAAACGTTTATCTCTTCCCGGATGTCCGCAGCTGCCAGCAAGTTCGTCGATCCCTCGTCGTCGAGTCCCGTCACGTCTTCGTCCTCTTCCAGATGCCACCGCACGACCGAATTTTCCGCGCCCGTCCGTTCCGCTATCCACGGACGATTAATCGTGTCTCCCGTACCCACGGGTCCACGGGGATGCCTAACACGATCCGATTACCAGCGAAGATCGATCGAATTCTTGCAGCGATCCTTCGATCTCGATGCTTCGTGCGCGCGAAAGGGAACCGCGAAGAGAATTTCGAGCTCGTTTCGTTAGGTTCTCGACTTTTCTCTCGTTCGAAGACACCGAGGACGCGATGTGGAGGAACCTCGTGTCCCTCGAAGGTGGTAAGACGACTCGTGTCTCGCGTGTTCGATCTGCGGCGGCTTTAGGCCGACTGCTCTCTAAAACGCGACTCTTGCCGCGCGCCACATTGTCCGCGCTTGCGCCACCTCCAATCTCCTCGATACCGCTTCTAATGTGCTTTCGATGCTCACCGGAGCCACCAGGTTATGATTAATTCACCTCCGTCTGCGTACATCGGTCCTTTCTTCTACACAGTTTTCCCCCACCTTCCGTTCCACCGGCTCCAAACCACATTCGGAGCTAATTGCTCGCGTCAGACGCTCGTTGCGCTTCGTGGAACTCGCATAAGATCCACCTTAGATCGGCAAAGATCAAAAGGTCTCGATTTAACTCGCTCAATTCTTCAAATACGACCATTGTACCTTTGTCCCTTTATGTCTTTATCGTTTCCAACTGGACGTAAAAGCCTGAAAGCTTAGACGATTTTTTCCCCACGGTTCTACCTTCGGAATATTCTGCCATCGAGATAGAGCCCGATATACGGTGCATCGTTTCCCTTCACCAGTTTTCTCCATTCTCGTTCAGAAGTGACCAAACATTTGAGACGGTTCGTTCTAGTCGTCGAGAGTACCCCTTGCCCCTGATAACGTTTCGCGTATGACTCTTTTCATACGCGTACGACGTTCCTGCCTTGCTCCAATAATTTCACGAGAACAAGAATTTTCGCGCAAATAGCACGGAAAGTGTACGGACTAACGAGAAATACGCAAATCTCCCTGAGAACGGAGTCTGCGAAGACGAAACGCTCCCATTGTGGCTAGTATTCTTATTCATTTGGCGAACTGTTCCCAACGCGAACGTATATTTTTCGATCGTGCGAACACTACGACTCGCTGATAAGAATATATTACTATTTCGCGAGACACACCCTGTATATTTGTTTAATTTATTTCTCTGTACTCTCGCCGCACTTTCAAATTTCAAGCTTCATTTTCCTAAGTGGTCCTACGCTATTTTAACTTTATCCCTTTCGATATACGCTCATAAGATTCTTTTATTTTCTTCAAACGCGCTGTTCCTTCTTTTATTCATCCCCTTTCCCCATAACTCTTGTTCTCTCCCCTCCCCTTTGCACTTTGAAGCATAAACATCTCCAGTTACAAACGAACAGAATCAAAATAGCTTGGAATTCAGCTTTTTTTTCCTAAATGTTTTACAATTTAAACGATAACATCGTTGAACGACTCGTTGCACATTTCGTACGCCGGTATTTACGTTAGCTGCTTGTACTATTTGCTTTGCTGTCGAAAATGAATTGGAAACTGCCCCTAAAACAGCACGTCTTCCGCGAGAATTTATTACCTTGAGTTTCTGTGTTCCTCTTTCAATCGTACTTCTCCATTTTGTCTTCCTTTAATAATATGCAAATATTATTATATACTAGAATTTGTTTACACTTCCCTTTTCCTAACGTTACAATTTCGATTCCATTCTGTTATTTCCTAGATCTAAACTTTTGGAATTGATATATTTGGAGAATGTTATCGCTTCAGCGTGTACAGCAGTCCTCTCAGGTGTTTCTCGGAATACTGTTCCGTTGGAAATTATGCTCGAACGAACTTTGACGTAAATGCGCAGTGCGCAGTTTGCAACGCAAACAAGATGCGATGTTGCACTTTGGAACGAGCTACGTAAGCCTCGAACTTTGTTCTACGAAGTATTAATCTGGAGAGAAAATAAACTTGCTCGTCGAGCATTCCTTTCGAGTCTCACGGCGGAAGAATCGTGCTGCACAATCGAGAAACGTTCGTACCCTCCGCACAGGTCGCTCAGAAACTCGGTGCAGTCCCGATGGAGCAATCGTGACGCGTCATAAATCGGTTTATTTATCGACAATGGACGCGTTCGCGGTAAATGTGTCCTGGCGGCACGATACGAAGACGATTAATGCGCGATCGATCTGCTCGATGACAAGTCAGTCGCGTTATCACGTTCCTGTCCTTCGCGAAGTTAATCCGACGATGTGCGCGTGACACTATGAAAGCGACTGCGTCCTCGACAATGCAATGATTCGAGCTTCTCCGCCACTGTACAGCCTGCAATTCGATCCAACAGTTAACCTGCTTAATTAAACACGTAAAAACGTCCTAATCGACTGCAAATCCTCGCTTCTTCAATTTCTATCCAGCATTGTCTTGCTAATTCGATCAATTTTTCCTCGTTGAACGTTCGCTCTTGCGTAATAGCGCAAATGCAGAACGAGCTCTCTGAAAATCCGTTGACAACAAACGAAACAATGGGCACGTACGAGCTGTGAAGTTTTTCACGAACGACTATGCACTCGGTCACTGGGTTTCATTTTCGAGTGGAAGTTTAACATCGCGTGGACATCTAGGCCATTAGCGAGTATTTTCTGTCGAACGTTTAGATTTTCTACGAGAGATTCGAATATCGTACGAGAGGGTGGTTTTGTCTTATTTAATATATATTTGGGGGGTAATTAGAGCTGCCCCGTGGCATCGAAAGACGTATGTATCTGCGGTGGACGTCTGGAGTTATGCATCAGGGGCGATTCAAGTCCGAAAGCGACGGGAAAGGCGGCCAAAAATGAACGAGGAATTTCGGGAATCCAATTTGACCGTAGCCGTTTCGTAGCAACAGGGAGATACGCCTAAACTGGGTTGCCAATCTAGGAATGCTCGTAGTTGTATTTGCATTAGGCTCTGGCTAACTACCGGGGAGCCAAGTACCACAGATTAATTGCATCTATTTACGCCCGAATACAAATTCGGACTGCGATTGATCTGCACTCGACTTCATTAACCTGACATGTGCACGATCCCAACGAAATTTCCATCCCTTTGCCTTTTCGTATTATCTGTTTATTTATTTATGTGCTTAACGAAACGTACCGTTGAGTGCAGAGAGTCAGAGACTGTAAAGAACGGGCAAAAGGGCATTGGGACAGATAATCAATCTATTAATATAACAAATTTGTGTACGTCGTTAATTCAAAATCTGGTTCATTTACATTTGACGACAATCGTATACTCTTTACTAATTTAGATTCGAGTATAAATTATTTGTCCAAAGCAATCTTCTTTCGAAAGATTCATTGACCCTTCAAGAACGTTAGTAAACAGTTTCAATCAAATTCTCAGGACATAAGTTAGATATCCACGTCGTTGAAGTCAGGCTTGTCGTGGCTCGACTGCGGACGTTCCCCAGAGACGTACGGTGATCTGAAATAGATGAAATGAGAATTTTCGTGTTCAAAATTGATGTCCACACGGAACAGATCGATTTTTAATAACAGTCTATTCCGTGGCGGTGTGTATTTTGCCCAAAGTCAAATTTTCGTTCCAATCGTGCTCGCAGCGATGAGAAAAACGCGTTTAAAGTCAGTGCCTCGTTCGCTGCTACCTTTAATCTCTCGAAACTCCAGGAATTTTCGGAGTTACACTTTGTGATTTTAACGAAATATTCTACCCGCTTGGAGCTTTCGTAGTGTATGAAAAAAAATAATTGGATATAACTCTGGTTTAATGGTTTTGTCAAAGGGGCACGATAGAGAACCTTTGTTCGGTGCCAATTATTTGTAAAAATGCGGGTCAATGAAAACTTGTAAGGTTATTAAAATTTCGAAGCTATATTTCTTCCCCAGTGTCAATATTTCCAAATAAATGGCCTTTGCGAGAAAACAGCGATGGCCAATTATCCGAAAAACTTGATTTATTCGGATAATAAAGCCACTCTTTCCAAGAATAAATTTATCGAAACATTCAGACGTACACAGAGCTTTAGAACAATTCACGGAGTAAAATTTTCTTTTATGTCTTCGGGAAAAGATATTCATTTGGATATCTTTTATAAATTAAAACTCACTGCATTTCTATCACGAAGAGAACATGAATGGTTCCGCGAAAAAAACTCAATAAAATTTTATCATCAGAAAGGTAGATCCGTTGCAGAATTCAGCTTCTTTCCATGAACCCATTTTTTGTCCGTCACAAAAGAGCTACAATCTGTGCCAGATTTTGGAGCCACCCTCTATCGAAACTCCGGTTCGATTTATTCTCGAAGATGCGTAGAAAACAGCTGCGGAGCCAGGTCGCGTGAAATTGATTGCTGCACGCTGGGTATTTCGCAAGAATATGGAAAAACTGTACGTAAATATTACGGCCGTGTCGCGCCAGTCGCGATAGTCGCGCGAACGAGGGACATTATACGCTCCGTAATTGACGGGACGTTAATTGCATTACTAATCGCGTACTTCCGTGCACGGTGCGCCACGCGAGGATCGAAAGCGTGTTCAGAAATACCGTGTCAGAAATTACCAGGCTTATATACATTCGAGCGTGTAAAATGTGACGGAGAAGGATTCGCGAACAAAAAATGCCCGAGGACAAAAGAATTTCCCGACGTATTTAATTTCTGCTTCTTGACCCGCGAGGGTGGAAAGTATTTTAAAGTGTCGAAAACACGTTTTTAGAATCTGATGAACTCGTTACTTAAACCACCGTCATGGACGTGCACCATAAATGTTGTACGACAATTAAAATAGTATCTCCGTTAATTGGTTTCCCGAACTAATTAAGTCGAATCGTTTTAATTTAGTTTTGCTGGTATATTTGGTAAAAAATCCTTTGTTTCGTGGAGGTTGCGACTGCGTGATGCTTTGGGGAGCACACGTTGGCGATAAAAATTTCGCTTTGCTCGTTTTGCGGTGAAAAAAACCGTCTCGTTTGATAAAAATTACAGCTCGTTACTCGCTGGGCCGGAAAAGAGTGACTTTCTCGGAGCATTTAATTACGTCAGGTCGTAGTAGACCGTGCAAGCAAATAATATCATAAATTTTATAATTATTGCCACCTTCTTTTATCTTTTTCGTCAAGTGTGAGTTACCAAAATGTTAAACATAATCTTTCGTTTCTCGCGTGTGCCTCTTTTATTTTTCTGCAATATCGAGTAAAGCGTGGACCGGTGTAAAAAGTTGGATAAATGTTAGTTCACAATTACGGTCCAAGCGTCGGCCAGCGACGAAGGTTGGATAAATATTGCTTCGTCCCCGTTTCATTTCCAAATAGCGAAATAAACTTTTGGTCGACCTCCGCGGAGTATTCGTTGCGTAAAATTAAAAAAAAAGAATGTCCGACGTCTGTGTTTATGGAATGGACGTCATCGTCTGCTTTCTAAGAGCATGCTTTCCTTCGACCCTGGCTCTCGAAAGCGAGGACTATCGATTGTACTCACTTAGTCGAAGTTTTGTCTTAAAATAGAACCGCGTCGTCGCGTTTATCCATGCTTTCAGTTTCTTCTGTTTTCCTTCGGTACTCGACAAAGCTTTTCCCCGCTTCCATATTTCTTTTTTCCCCCCTCCGAAGTTTCCTCGTCGCTGACCGTCGCAAACATTCTTGTCGGGCAGCCTTTCGAAGCCAACCGGAATCGCACGGGTACCAAAGCGACGCTTTAAACAAGAACCGTTCCCAGGGATTATCAGATATTTCTTAATAAAGCGACGCCGCCGAAAGAGGCTCGTTTGCAAAAATAATGTTTAATGCTGGAACAAGTTAATGAATATTTTGCACGTAACGAGCTTTCGATGATTAACGCAGCTGCATTGTGGAATAGTTCTCGGGACTCGCTAATTAAGCCGCTGGTGTCCCGGCTGAAAAAGAAACATAAATTCCAGACCTTTTTAATTAGTATTGGATTTTATATTCACGCATACTTTACAAAAAGGACCTTAAGAGTACGAAACGATTATGAAGAAGAAGAAGAAAAATATATTCTTCGACTTGGCGAGCCCCATCGTCGGTGCGCGCGAGCATAATTTACAAAAAGATATTCACAGAATTGTGAGGTCTTGGGGCCCGCGTTCCTCTCGAAACTAAACCAAGAACGGACGTCGACAACCGTTCCCCGATGAACTCGCGACGACTCTGTGCCATCTAATTTTTCAAGCCACGCGGCGGTGTTGCATTGTCGAGGAAAATGGATTCCACGATAGCGGTTTCTATTCTCTCCTGAAAACATCCACCAGACCATTCTGGTTACGGGTTTCCCTTCGTCGGAGGACTACAGTTATTTCCTGCGAAATAAGAGGGGATCGATAACGCACCCTTAATAATATGCCTATTCCGAGTGCAATCAAAACGTCCGTTACTTACCGTCGATCGCGCGATAGACTGCGTTCGATCCTTTTCTTCTACCTTATCCTCTTCTTCGAGATAAAAGCAATCTTCAGCAAATTGACTATGGGCGCCTCGAGCGCGATGGAGATACAGAACGACATCAAGTACGAAGCCACCAGATTTCCAAGGTACAGGATGAGCTTGAAAAGTAAATAAACCTTCAGTATCTTCTTCAAACAGAGCCCTGAATCCTAAGCATACTCCGATCTACTGCCCCCAGCTGGGGAATAATTATGGGGTGGTTAAGTTTTAGGGTCCAGAAAGAGACGATAAATGAAATCTCTGGATTTTTGGAGCTACTATTCTGACTGATGATATAAACAATTCCCCGACTTCCGACGTATTAGTGTCAAGGATCGAGGGTAGTTTGATATTCGTTTCGCTTCGGGCGGTCCTGATCTAGTTAGACGAAATCGTTTACCTTAACGAGACCTCCTCCAGACTGGCTCGACTCACCACAAGATCGTTGTGGAGGTGCAGCGGGCCATCCATCTGGGTAACAGTGATCATCATGATGACAGGGTGCACCAAGTATGCGCAGTAAGTCAACCTCGAGAGCGGATATATCAGCCGGAGCGACAGCAGACTGTCGATCATTCGCGCGGATCCGGTGCAACATTGAATAACGATGAAGGATATACCCATCGCCCAGGCGGTGTGTCCTAAGGCGACGTACACGGAGCTCAGACCCACGGTTAAATTTCCGGGGTACAGGCCGTAAACTACCGAGAACATCACGCCGCCCGATAATAACCAGCCGATCGTTCGCGCGATCTAAAACAGAATCGCGATGTTAAATCGCTCCGAATTTTCCACCGATCGTTGAGTAATCGTCCAGAGATGAAACGATAACGCTCCAAAAACGACCATCTTTGGTCGTCGTCAGGGAAAGAAGAACGTTTATGTAACCATCGATCGAGAAACGTTATTTAATCAACGCGTAATTGGGTACCGTAACGAACGCGATTATGTACGAACAGCAACTGATTCGTTGGATTTGTTTTATCCTTTTATCGCAATTAGAACGTCTCTGGCGAATTGTTCAGGGAGTCTTGGAGCGATACGGTTTTTTATTCGCTCGTCTTACCGAATCGGTAGCTGAAAATTCTGATCGATAGACGTAACGCAACAAAATTATTAAATAAAAAATATTGGAAAAGTCGTTCGGAAGACGGGAGTTTCGGAAAAACGGAGAAATCGTGGAACTGTTACTACGCGGGAGAACAAGAGTTATATCGTGCCTAGTTCGCCAAGTATGGGGCCGCGCACAATGGCGGAAATTGACTGCTTTAATTGCTTTTCGGGAAAGTAATTAACCACCGTTGTGCACCGACCCATACGTGGCGAGTTGGGGAACTGTTTAGCACTCCTATCGCAACGATTCTATAATATTTCCGCTTTTGTAAAAACGTTTGAAAATTATTAATGCAACGAACACGCCTAAAGGTTAAAGTATCACATTTGTTTGTCTTTGAACGGTGAATTGTTTTCGAAAATCGGCCAGAAAGTTTAATTATTTTTCGGGAAAGCAATCAGCGACCATAATTATAATTCGTGCTTGGTAAACAAGGATACTCGTTCTCCGGTCTCAAGTCTTTATCCGAACGTTGCTTTGGAAAACTACGTCTTGTTTTTGTTATTATTCATGATGAACGATAGGGTAAGAGTGTTTCCCCATTAGACACCGTTTTCCCGTCCTGAAAAAGCTTTCTAATCTTTGTTAAGCTCGACCTCGAGCGTTTCTCAGACCGTGGTGCTTACCAGCGGCAGTTTCAATTTGCAATTCGTCTTGAAGAGAATGTAGCCGGTGATAATGCCGACAAAGTAAGGTCCGGCCCTCAGCCAGGGTTTATCGTAGAGCTCGTCGAACAGGGCGAACGGTTCTTGGATTCTGAAAAAAAACGAAAGAGAATCGAGCTTTATGCGGGAACACGGTCCTGGGAGAGCAAAAAAATGGAAAGCACGGTACACGTTCGAGTCGCTGTAATTACGAGAAAATTATATCGTCGAGTTCGTCTGGAAACTAGAACACCGGGCGTTCGATTATTAGATATCGGGAATGGAACCGTTACGTTTACCGATAAAGTCTAATTCCGTCGAGCGCCGCGCCGGGAATACGCGTCGCGAACTTTTTTTTACTCCATTAACGGAAAAATAATTCGATCCCGAGCAAGTTGCGTACGTTGTTTGCATATGTGTGAGGAAAGGGTTACGTACAATTGGCGGTTAATTACCTGGCCACGTAGTCGTTGGAGTAAGCCACGAAGAAGGTGGTGAACCATGAGGAGACGATCACGAAAAGAACGGTGAACGCGATGGCCTTTAAATATTTAATGGAGAGAAGAAGCAACAGTATCCCGAGAACGTAGAACTGCGTGTCGTTTGCCATGTACCAGCTCCACAGCATACACTGGAAAGTTGTTAGTCAAGTATTCATCGGATAATTGCGTCAAGGTTCAACGAGCCTGGACTGGGTCGGGCTCGCGAAAGTGTCGGAAAATACTTGGCTCGGGGAAAAACCTATACGCGGGAAGGCGCTAGGGTTAATAGATCGAAACATTTTTATCGCGTATAATCGTTCCGATAGTCATTTATAGGCTTTGTCCTTCGTTCGATCTTTCGATTCCCGCGACAAATCTGATAGATCGAAGTTCATGCGTCGAGGGTTGGAAAACAAGGGTCGTTTAACCGCGCGATTCACCGACTATCCAATCATCGATGAAATTGATTTTAGGACGGTTAGACGACGTTCCGCGTTGTTCCGCCGCTTTGGAACTTTCTCCGAACGATAGAATTAATTATCGGAAAACGATCGAGACCCCGGCCATCTTCGTCGTCTAGTGTCTTCCGGCAGCTCGTATGTCCTGCGGAAATTTCTTTCGATTTAGTCGCCTTTCCCTCGGAGTTCGGGATCCATGACAAGGTCGTTTACTCGATGAACGGAGACGGTTATTTTTTCATGGTCTTTCCTAGAATTCTTACCATTTCCGTTCGAGGGTACAACGAGTTTATGTAGAGAGCGTTCCTCCACCAGAACTTGTCGCAGGTGATGTGATCGATGATCACGGGCGAGAACACGGTCCTCGCGTGAGCCTGCTTTATGGCGATCTCGTTGATTCCCAGGACATACAGGTACGCTGGTGTCAATCTTGGGGGAAAAGAAAATCGAACGTGGTCAATCTGTCGAGATTGGGCAGCCTGGATTTCCGAGAGAACCGTTTATTTTTTGTTGGGAAGATCGGGTCTCCGGGCCTGCACGCGGAAGTTTGATCGATCGTCTAGTTTTCAAGGCTCGCGGTTAAACACCTCGCTCACCTGATAAATCTGTACAGGACCATGATGATAAATTTGTTGAAACACGTCTTTAGGAACGTGTCGCTGTCGCTCTTCAAGCTCCCGGATGATCGATAGAAGAGGATCGTAACCAGCAGGCCGCTGAAAGGATCGCGTTCGTAAAGATTTGCCCTTCGTGTCGTTACTTGTCAATGTTTCGTTCGTACCTTATGAAAAAGAACGTGTCCACGGAAAACGTGGCATTGCTGATCGTCTGGAACATGAAGTTCCGCTCGGTCACCGTGCGCAGCGTCTTGTTTTCTAAAAATCACGTCAAAAAATAGTAACGTTCCCTTAAAGTTTGCCAGGATTACGAAGACCGATCAGACTCGCGTTCCTTTTGCTAGCCAACTTCTCGCGAACGAACGGTACATACTCTAATTACGGGTTCTGAACCAACGGCGATATCCTGATTGCAGCAATTATTATTCTCATTGCCGTTGGTTATCTCTGGAAATTGCTAGCATCAGAAATTAGATAAGTTCTGGCCATGGAAAGGGGGAAGTTTCGCGCGTGTTGCGATCCTCTTCGAGCGAGTTTACCTGCGATGGCGTACACCTGGAGGTAGGTGTGCACCATGACGACCCATCCCAACGAGAGTACTCGTAGACCGTGCAGACAGGTCAGACTCTCCCTGGCCGGTGGTTCCGTGCTCAGAATCTTGCTTCCGTTCGCGATAGGGTTGAAAGCTGTCAGACACTTGAGCCACGGTCCTGGGGGAAAGAAAAGGATAAGAATCACGGTAGGATTAAAACGAAATGGGGGACCTGGCGAGGACGAACGGGACCCAGCACCTTTCCTATCTTCTTTTTTCGCTCGATCTGGCAGGACTTTCTGCAGACTCTTCCCCTCGCAGTCCTCGCCCATGGTTATCCGACGATCCTGATTCAGGTTTTTGTTGGAGAAATTGTCGAGCCTCTCGTTATTGTTCGATACGCTCGAGGATTCGACGTCCTTCGTGCTCGGCTGCGTCCCGTATTCGTAGATCGCCGCGCACAGCATCAGCAGGATCAACACTCCTCCGACACCTCTAAAAAAATAAAACGAGTCAGGTGTCTGGCACAGACGAAGATGATAAACGAGACAATAAAAGAGACAAACGCGACGAAGCTAAATGACGATCCGACGCGTAACTTCTCGTCGCTGAAACGAATTCGTTGGATCAATATTTACGCGAGTAATTTAGGCTGCTTTTGTTCGCCAAATGGCCACGCGAAGTTAATTTAGGCAACGCGTGGGCGCGAATTAATGAAATCATCGCCGACCAAAATAATAAAGAGCGTAACGAAAGGTAAATACAAACTTTGGAGAAACTTTTTCAAGAGTTCGTTCTGAAAATTAGCGTCGAAAACACTTTAAACAGTTGAACTTGTGAGTGCATTGTTTTAGAACCCTTTTCCAGAATAATAACACTGGGAAACTAATCCCGAATATGAGTCCGGTGCACACCTGCGCGCGTAATTAACGGGTCCAGAAATTTATAACGTTGTATCTCTTTCTGATGGAAAATTAGCATCACGATTTTCACGACGACAAAATTACGACGTCATAATTAAGGGATCGCGTACGGATAAGCAAGGAATTTGGAATTCATTTGTATCGACCGTTTGTCAATTTGATCGATCGCCATGCAAGAGATAAATCGGCGATTCGCGAGCCTATTAATCATCGCGCTCGTAAATCATGTTCGCCGACGAAGTGGCCCCTCGATATAAATCGGCATTCTAAATGGACTTGGCTGTAAATAATTAAAGCCGAAGATGAATAGTTCGTCTGATATCTGTACGATTTCGTATTCAAATGTTCCTGTGGTTGGAATGGGTATAAATAACAGAAGACGTGCGAGTTATTACGATAATGCTTGTAACAGCGTCGATCTCGACGTGTGGAAGCACTCTTGCTGTCGAGTCATCAAACGTCAACGTTGACTTTTGACTCCTTTGATACGAAAAAGGAAGTCGAGACAGCCAAACATGCCATAATGTTGTTTTATCGGACGTAGAAAGCCCGCCTCGTTTATAATATTAACAAATAATCCCCCCCCCCCGGTGGGTCAGTTGGTTTCATTACGCAACAATGATTCATTTCCTCGCTTAAGTTTCTTAATTACCGTGCAAGAACACGCCGGCGGAAACATTCCTTCGATTAACCGCATTGTTCGTTCCTACGGGGAGAAAGTAGACGATAAACAACGCTGGTTTTTATCGTCATTTTTTTCCAATTAATCCCGCGACCGCAAGAACGAGACGACCGATACGAGAACCTTAGCGAGGAAACGGGTGGTAGACTTTGCAATCTCGCGATAAAAAAAATGTTGATTTTCGTCAAAGGCCGACGAAGGAACGAAGAATTTCCGGCTTCCGGAAGAACTTCGTCCTTCCGGCCCGCTTAGCCGGATTTAAAACGCGAGCCTGGAGATAATAAAACGGCAAACAAGTTTTTCGCCATCGTTTTCGACGCAAAGCCACGTGGCGCGGTTCTACGCGACCGTGAAACAAATGGAAAGCGTCGGAACAGCCGCGATAAAACTTACGACTTAAATTCTTATGCCTCGGCTTATTTCCATTTCTCTTCTTAATCTTTCCTTTCTGTCTAGTTTATTCTTCAATTTGTTCCCGTGATAAAGCTTAAACCTTCCGGCTGTTCGGTATAATGCCTACACACGCCGTATACGTATATCGTTTTAAAATCATCTTTCGTTTAATCCCAGGAGTCCCTTTCACGGTCATGTTATTTTATCCAAGTACAGTGTTTAAATATTTTACAAATTGCACTTGACTCGATTAACCGTGATCTTGAGATCGTTTTTTGTTTGAGCTTATATATTTATCGAACGGGTTAATCGTAGTATATTTCCCAACGCGTTCGTCTAATGTATTCCGAAAATTGCGTACAATGTGTCGTTAAAAGATTGCGGATCTGTGTACAGATACAGCGTATCAGAATATGCAAAATGCGTGCAGAATATATGCAAAATACATGCAAAGCGTATGCAGAATATATGCCGAGCAAAAGGTAACTGTATAACATTTCATATTACGATTGCTATTACTGTTGTTACATCACGTATTTTTTCATCATAGTTAATTCAGTACGTGACGATTTATAGATTGTTTTTGTGACGTGTTGCAAAAATGAAATAGAAATAGGCAAATTGTTGAGAGAGAAACAACGCGAATGAATCGAGACCGCCGTAAACACGGAGAGGAGCGTGTTTTGGTCTCGAAGAGCCGAGTTGGTTAGTGGATTGCTTCTAAAGAACTGCTTGCGGGTCGAAGATGGTAGTTCCTATACTTTTCTATCCCTCGCTGGAATCCCCCGGCGATTGTAACGGCCACGACACGGTACAAATTTTCAATTTATCCGTAAATTGCACCGTGCAGCGAGCATCCCTTGAGAGAAACCAGACAGGCGAAGTAGAATCACGAAGAACCGACGCGGCGCCCGATGTATCTGCAACCGCGAATCTCGTAACTGTCGAAATGCCAATAACGACACCGTGAAAGTGGATTCCGACGCTTCCACGTGCCTCGATCGCTATCATTTTTCGTATTTTGGGCTACCACGTTCGCCATAACGAAAGATCGCCATTGTTTCGATCCGTTTGGGCCTCCCACCCTGGATTCATTTGACCGGTCGCGGAAGATTTAATGTTAATGGTTGCTAATGAAATCCTGAGAAACCTGGCTCTGTTATCCGTGATCTCGTGGAAAAGTTTTCAACGTTATTCATAAATTTAAATTAACTCCCGACGATCGACCGCGCTTGTGACTCACTTTGCGGAATTATACAGTATTCCATTTCTTCTATTTGTATTTAATTAAATTCGCACCATTATGCGTGCGCATTTGCGTTGCAGATCCGCCGTGGGATCTCGCTCGATGTTTCTGCAGCAGGTGATCTTGACTTCCTCCTCGTCGATTCGGCGATTAGGGTCGCTGGTCGAACGATGAACTTAAAAACTTGTTCGGGAAAAATTATTCCGCGAATCGATTTTTTGTCAGAAGGGGGACACGTGGTGGATTATTTTAAAAAATTGTTGGAAATCGAAGCCTGTTATTTCTCGTAACATATTCGGAGGAATAAATTCTATTTATTAGATACGAAATGATATTCGTGTTACGTTAAAATATACGCGTCATCCGTATTCCAGCGTTGGATCCCTGTGGATTTTACGTCAACCATAGCTGACGATGAATGACGTGTGAGGTCCCGTCACCCATTTCTGATTAACGTTTAACTTCCCCAATTAGGCGTGAATTTCCCTCACCGCGCGATCAATCTCAATATTCTAGAAATTGTCGAAATCCAAGTTGAATCGCTATCGCGTCGACGAGGTGTCGTGACTTAAATATATTGTGAAAGATATCTACAGTTGAAACAGATTAAAATTAGATATTTCGCAGGCAGAATAGCGCGGTTGCGCGTGGTCGATAGTTCGATTGAATTATATGAGCCACAGCGGGGAAAAAACCGCGGCCTTTGCGGGACTCGAGCGCGAATTTAGCGCGGCAGTTAACGCGTTATACGCAGGCCTCCCGTCGACGAGCCATTAGAATCGATCGGTCGCGAATCCGGAGAGAAGCGTTCGGATGAAACCCGCATTCGTGTGGAATGTGCACGATAATGCAACCACTTTCACGTGCTGGCGCTCAAAGGCTTTCAATGATCTTGCGTAACGCGTTCGAGGCACACGTGCAATCCTGCGCACCTGTCGATACGCGTTCCGGCACGTATTCCGACGATTTCGAGCCCGGAAGAACCCATCGTTCATTTTTCAAGAAAAATTAGAAAACTCATCGCGGAATACAAAAATATCTCTTCGGCCTTCGAACCCATTGAAAGAAAATTTGAAGCGTTCGTAAACAGAGCCCCTCTCGGATCGAACTGTGGAATTTGAATATGAACTTGCTTAGAATAAACGAGATAAAGATTACGAAAGCCTCGTAAAGGCGATGCAAACAGCCGAGGTCTCGTTCTCTCTTCTGTTCGTGCGAAAGTGCAACGGTCGTTGCATAATTGCATAGAACCGGTTCATCATCGAGATGGTTACGTGAAAAATATCGCGCGACGACCTCCGTGAATTTCGTTTCTCCGGCCAGCGAAAGTGTGTACGTCCGGATCGTTGTTTTTCAAAACAGTCGCGATAAAAATCCCTGGCATCCGCGGTGCTCGCGAAGTGTCGGAAGAAAATTAAGTCGATATCTTCATTTTCTCCGAGAAAACGGCTCGCGGCGTTTTATTCGGACCCGCATGGCGCGTGGCATCCGAAACATTTTGTCCCGGCGCCTTTCCTTCCATCGAGGATCCGCCGAATAAGGAGAGACAAGTCACTCTCGTCTATAAAATCTCGCGTTAAAACAAACAGGTAGAAATTCGCGCGTTAGAGACGACGTGAAAAGAACATAAATTGTAATCTGTGTCAACATGTTGCATTAACGACGCGTATCGTAGATTGAGATCATCGTTTTAATTATGATAATATCGCCATTTCGCGTAATGAATATAACTGCTTTCGTAGATTGAGCCTGAAAGTTTTTAAATTATATGCAAATCCAATAGCCGTCGATTTGAGATACGAAAGGCCAACAGTATATGATTATTACGCGGAGCTAAACGACCCTCGTTATTCCTGGCCTTTTTGTTTCCCGCATTTTCAACGGTTCGTTAACTCTTTTGGCCGTTTTATTGTCTCGCGGATCATTTCGAGACTTAAGTGTTCCTAATTGGATCCCATATACAGTGACGTGGAGTACCCTGTTACGTTTGGAATTGGTCAATTTCCACCGCGCTCTTCCTCGTCTTTTACGGGAATCCGTAGCCCTGGCCTTCGAAACGAATGTCAACGATGATCGTGCATCGATCCACGCGAAAGGAAGGGACTCTCGATCGCGCTGGGGGCGAAGCGGTATCGCTGAAATCGGGCCGTTAGATTGTAACTCGCCTTGGAACTCGAACGCGCTGCTTCTTATTTTATAGTTAATATGCATTGCGTGCAAGGACGTTTCGAGGTGCAAGGTTCTATTAATATCCCACGCGAGTCGTTAATGCCAACGTAATTTGCGGTTAGTTAAAAGTTCGGGATCGTAAGTTAATGCTCTCGCGGGAATTCGACACTCTGTTTGCTATTTCGCTAAACAACGAGGACCGCCTCCTGTGATAGTCAAAGGGCAAAATTGCAAGGTAAAAAATAATATTTAAGTAAAGAAATAAAAGAATTAATATTTCCGGTTCACCAAGCTCTATAATGAGTGGGACTTTTATCGAGCTTTTTTTCGTATTGCGAATACCAGCGACTCGAGGCTGTTGAAACGCGGCAGGGACATTTCTTCTCGCGAAATCTATTAAAGTTCAGCGTGGAGGAGCGTCGAATCCTCGGCGAAGTCTCGTAAAACTACGTCGGTGCCAGGCGTCGGGACGTTCTTTCGTGCTTAATCCGACTGGCGCGAAATCGATTCTTCTACCCGGCGATGAGCGTTCGAATCTTCTTGGGAAAGTTCGAAACATTCGAAGCTGCGAAGTTCCAAGATCGCTTTGCATATTACTCGAAATCGGAAATTGGAAGATCTTCCGAAATCCCGATAAGCGTTGATCGTTGTTGAGCAGCTTGACAAAGTTCAAAATGCAAAACTGTCGGCTAATTTATATTCAAACGATAACGATTGCCTTACAAAATGAACTAAAAATTCAGAGCATCACACTCCTGAACCCATCTCGATTAATACATCGTTTATTTAAAACGAATTATCTCGCGCAAATTGAAGCTGGCGCGCGGCTAATTAAAACAGAAAAACAAACACACAACGCAGAAACGAAAGAGGAGAAATTACATACAAATCTAAGGTCAATGTAGTAAAAATAAAATCTGGTTACGTTATGTACGCCGATAATGAAAAGCCATTAGCCCGAAACCAGTCAAACCGGCAACGGTACGGAACAGAGAAAACAAAACAATGACATCTACAACGCGATAGACGATAGTAAATATCCCACAGTACTAGTTCCACCGGATACAGCCTTATACTCTCCGCAGTCCATTTATTTCATTCTGGTAATCAATAAATTGTTACTCGATAAAGATCTAAATCAAAGATCGAGAGGTTGATAATAAAATCGCAATTCTTGGGATCGTAACGACCGGTAAACGTGCATACCAGGTTATTAGGAAATTGTATAAATTAGCACGTTATTAATTTTTTCAACGATACGCCTTATTTACACTTTCAAAGATATTTCATCGTTTCGTGAAGAAATACTTTCTAAACGTTCGGCACTTTCTAACGCCTGAAGACCTTCGTGATCTTCCTATTCTAAACAAGATCCGATTTCGAAACAGACGTCGCAGGTATCCTTGGTCGGTCCTCGAACAACAATTCGCAGTAAACGTTTCTTATTGCAGGTTCGAGCGTTTGTTTTGAAACCTCTTCGACCTCCGATCGGAGCTCGCTTGTTGCCTGGCTGAAATCCGGGGAGAGGAGCAACCCTGACTGTGAAGCCTCGCGAAAAATGTTTTGATCGTGCTAGTTTCCTACCTGACGTTCGCCAGTGAACTTGATCTCACCGTCGGTGGTAAGTTGCCTCGTTAATCTCTGCTCTCGACAAGCTTCGAACGTTGCTTATACGCGTGAGAGACGCAGAGTGTGTTTCGTGGTTCGTTTTGATTACCGAACACCCGCTTTCTCCCGCTCTTTCCTCGTGTGTCGTAACGTTATTTATGGAGTTTTCATTGACTGGGCACATCGGGTATCCCGGGAACCTTCGACGATATATTTTCGAGACCGCTTTTGTTATCGAAGTTTCGCCTAAAAGCCTATCGTCGAGGCGTCGGTTCGTAGACGTTTGACCGACGTTGTTGGAAACCGCGGCGCGACCGCGGCTCGTCGTTGCGTAATACACGCGATCCCCCGGTGGCTTCCACAAAAAAACCATAGCTACCATCGGTATGGTAAATTGCGAACAGTTGTGCAAGTAGACCGACGATCCGCGTCTAGTAATTTTTTCGTTAGAGGGCTGACGCAATCGTCGTTACGCCGTGGCCCGATGTAACCATGACACGCGGATTGCATAATGTCGCTGTTGGGTGTGTTCGATCGCACAAATCGTTTCTTTATGGATTTTTTCCCCCCAGATTCGTTGAAAGTGGAACGTGACGGATAACGTATCGGTTGCGTGCACTACGGCCTTATTCGCGAGAATTTGGCACACGACGAGGGATAGACACGCTCTTCGAGTCGTTGCACAAGGAAGACGCACCTTGATGTTGCACGTTGCGTAACTGCAGGAATTTCATCTCGAAAGAAAGTGCAGAAAGTGTGTTATGCACGTGACTGGTCGTGTGCGAACGTACACAATCGATTCGAGGAACGATTGTATCCTAGCAGCCACAAACACACAGGCGAACCAGAACTAATTGGTGAGACAAAAATAAGTACAAGAAAATATTTAATGCGTCAGAAAACCCTTTAAAGTTTTTTAGATGAAATTTTACGCGATTTGAAAGTTTTTTTCTACAAACTTTGGCGAGCGAAATATAATTAATGTAATAGAGGGTTGCGAAAATTTTCCAACGCGTGGTTCTGACCGAAGTCAATTATTTTGGTTGCGTTAGGAGCGAATTCTGTGCCATCGTGCGCAGGTAGAAATTACGCACTTTGGCGCTTAACGAGGCAAACTGAAAACTCGTACCGTCACCGTGCAACTGAAAACGCTACATTATGTTCGACGGTATTAACACAGCCTCTGAAAGGAGGAAAGTTTAACGAGATACGGGGCTGCAGCGGATAAGAGGCCACTTCTTTTCTTTTTTCCCCGTGTGTGTCGTGCCTCAAAGCACGCGACTACTTTCGTTTAAGTGGCACACGAGTTTCAGAATGTTCACGGAACCTCGTAAAGAATTCATGAATTCAGACAACGAAGATTAATTACCGTGTGTTTAGCTAATTGTGCGATTTTAAAAATTATTACCAAAAATCTCAATCGTCGACATCCCCTGTATTCGTCTAAACTAACCTCGATGCATTCTTTTTCTAGTATCCTTTCTTGGAATCAAAGCCGACCGCCATCCTTGATTTCGATGCAAATGCGAAACGAAGAGTTTTTATTATGTAAGTTAATAAATCCTCGGTTGCAACATTTCTTCCAGTTAACCGGTTGCGCCCGCGAATCCTACCATGGAATTATCCACATCTATCGACGCGTGTACCGACTTTTCCGTGCTTTTTTCATCGAGTGAATGTAACTGTTGCGCAAATTCCGGTCGTGTAACCGGAGATACACGACCGAGAGCCGTATTTTCGTGTATCGACCGATCGCCGCGGAACTTTCTAGCCGCGATTCCAATACAGGTGTGAAGATTCCATCACGATCGTTCGAATCAAGATTCGACGAGCAACTTCCATGCCTTGAATATAACTTTGTAAAATTAGTATACGACGCGACAGGTGTCCTCTGGTGGCGGCGAATCTTGCGGAAATTCCCCAGTATCGTGGATAAGTGTCATTTAAACCCACCGCGGACGATGTTATGCAAAGCGACGTTCGCGAATCGTGCAACGAATTTGTCAAATTGCTGTCGGCGATTCCTCCTTCTGGTGAAAATTTATTTACGAAACTTCCGGCCACTTTCTGTTGAAACTTCCTCGTGTACTTAGCTGCCGTGCTGAAAGAGCTCGTCGCGCAGTACTTTCCGTCGTGAACAGGATTTAATAGCGAAGCGAGACTGCATTGAAACAAGAACGGGAACAAACGGTCCTGTACAGTATCGGATTCTTCAAGTTCGTATTTCCCATTCTCTGGTTTTGGTGGGTCGTTTTAATAGCAGAGTATGTGCGCACTTTTGCGACAGATGTTCGGGCATTAAACCTCTCGTCCTCATTAGAACCACGTGGCTACGTATTCGAAATAAAATTCATCCGCGCTTCTATATCCCCGTGAATGCAGATTTTACATTCTCTCGTAAACTAGCTTTCAAACGAGAAATTAATTCACAAATGCACAATTTACATTCGTTGCTAGAAAATTTTGTCGACTCTGCCGTAAGTAGTAGAGTAAAAAATTATTATATTTCATATGGAATTACGGGCGTAAGAACTTTGCAATGCAAATTATGTAGATCGATTATATTTCTACATATTTTTAGTCCTCTTCGCGTATTATAAATGCACGAAAGATTTTATTTTCGGAATCGAGAGTCCCGTTGCAATGGCGGTAAGAATGAAAGTTGGCTGGATCGCGTGTGGTGGCTATTAACGAGCGAATCACGGTTCGAAAATTTGGTTTGCGCGGCTGATTTACGGGCAACCGCGAAGGAAAAGTTTTTGCATTACTTACGAGAGGACGTACAACTTGGGATCGAGCCAGGGACTGTAATTGCTGGAAGGCACAGGCTTCACCGCAACGATGTGAATCTTCGGGCCGGTCGATCGATAGGTTGAATTGCCCTCTCGCTCGACCCGATCTGCGCTAGCTCTCAGCATCGATGTTAGCGACGTCCGGTTGCACGTTGCTGGCAAACAGAGGCCCAAAAATACCTGTCGTGTCTGAAAACGAAACGTCCAGATTCATAAAAATCAAGTTTCATTCATTTATGCATCGACCTCGTCATCCTTTGTTTTGCAAATCGAGACGCACAGAAAACAACTCGCGAGGAATTTATCGAAGAGAGGTTAGAGAATAATATGACAGGATTTAATTAGGATTCATCGCAGATTTCTTCGCGCAACAGCGAGAGGATAGCAATGTTCCGTGTTATCAAATTACTCGTATAGTCTCCGAATAGGTACACCATAGCAGAATATTTAACAGTACGAAAGTGGTCCTAAGGCTGACGTAGACGGTATATAGGTCGCGACGCGTAATTCGTTTAAATTGTTCGTCCCGAGACACGTAATTCGCCTAAGTTCTGCGCGATCTTCGCGCGAACGTGCCACGTACTCCCGCTAAATTAATTTCAAAAAGCGAGTTCGGTGGAATTGGTCGTGGATAAATATATTTCTAATATCTGCCGGGTGCAGTGAAATGGCTACAATCGAGTTACCACCTAGTTTTAACAGAATTATTGTATTCGACTCGCTGGGAGTTCCGTAATAGTTCTATTCAGTTTCTAAACGAGTTCCCTAGTTTCTTCACTTTTCATCCAACCTTCGTCCTCCTAAGATTATGGAGAATCGTGTTCGAGCAGCTTCTGCGTCCCAATCCCTAGTTTACGATCTCGTAGACAGCGTTTCGAGACGATCGGTTAACACCGTCAGAACCGGATGCTGGCTCGATATTCGAACGCAAAGAGAGCAGAATGATCCCGGTGGAAGCGGTTAGTATCTTTTAATTAAATCCAAGTCGCGAGTTTGCAAGACAAGTCGTAGCAGGAAGATTCAATTTCAGAATTAATCAAACTTTCATAATCTTCCATTCTCCGGGGCTTACATCGAACCGTGTGGTCCGGGCTCTCATAATTCGTTTCCCTCGAAGGTTTCCCATATTTTTCCTCGCCGTTGTCTCTGCTTTTCCGCGACTCGGTTTCGCCCAGAGTCGCGACATCGCCGGGAAAATCGTGACGCGGTTTCAAACTCGGTCGACGTAAGCCGGATTCTCCGACACGATAATCCTTCGCGGATCGGAGGATTCCTGCTCGCCACTGAAAAGTGCAGTTCCTGTTGGGAGAGTTCGGAACTTTTGGACCTCGAAGCGTCGACAACGATCGCTTATATCGCTTAACGCAGTCGTCTGCCTCGTCCTTGGCTTTTTACTGCCTCCATTGTGCCCCTTAATTTCAATTTATTCGAACCCTTTCGTTTATTAACTTTGGAAGTCGTATTGAAGGAAAGACAAAAATAATAAATAACGTGCAGGGGTCTGTTGACGTCTCCAAGACGTCGCGACGTTGGAGAACATCATCTGCGACGCGAACGAATCGCCTCGGTAGATTAATTAGTCCCCGGACTAATTTCGTCTGGCGGATAGACGATCCGTCACGTGTCTCTGCGCCTCGCGTTTAATTAATCCGCGTAATAATTCATTGGTCGTTACAAGCCCTCGCGTTATTCAGCTTCCGAAAGCCGATTAAGGCGCGGATTAGTTTAACGAATTGGCATTCCGTTGACGCGCGACGGTTGTTCTGCATCCGGTAAACGAAAGGAAAATCGCGGGCTTGAAACTTGGCGGCGCGAACTCGATACTTACGGAGAACTCGAACTCCTTGGGCAAAGTCAAATACATTCTGGCCACGTGGAATTTGAGGGGATAAGGCGGCCTTTCGTCGATCCCTGGCCGAGCTTCCGTGATGTTCAGCTCTCTGCAAAGGTTGCTCGAGCCGAGCCAAAAGCCGTTTCCAAAATGGAACTGCGACGAGTAACGGCCGCTTGCGTCCGACACTGCGAAAATGAAATTTAAGAAGCTTGCCATTAAATTAAAACATCGGAACTTAGTGGAAAATGGTGTTTGTGTTATAATTTAATTATAAATCGTAAGCCTGAGTTTCGAACGAATTTGTAACGATAGTGAAGAAGTTTTTAACGCTGGAATGGAGACGCTCGTAACGGTGAATAATGTCTAAAAACAGATTGTTGTTTCTGAAGGGGTGGAAATGCACGTTCCCCGGTGTATTTTCTTGTCCTCGTTGCGCAAAATCTTCTCGCTTTCGAGGGTTGGGTTACGCGAGCGAACCACGCCTGGAAGGTTCATTGCCAGTTACGTAAATTGCCCGACGATTCGCGAGAGCGGAGAAAGTGCGGACGATCGAGTCGGCCATCGCCAGGATGTTCGATAAACTCCTTCGACACAGTTCCGAGCGAATCATCCTCGAGCATGACGCTTTGAAAATCCTTACGGAGCCGTAGAGATCGTCGATTAACCTTTCGAGTCACGTGGAAGAATTTTATTCATGTTCGAATCAAACAACGCATTCAATTATTACGAAGTCTCGAGGTGTTTCTATAACGCCGTTATAAATTGAATATAAATTTTTAAAAATGTACTCTCTGATTTTTAACGGTCGAATTAACGAATAATCGACACGTGATTCGATGGAGTCTGTAGCCCAGCGAAACGTGACGCACATTCCATATGGCGACCCGGGCGTTCGCGTTGCTTGAACGCGTGAAATAAATTAACGTAGATTATGTCTGATGTAACGCCTACCGCGCATCTAATACTGCTTCGCGCGGGCTGAAAAACCAATCTCGCGGTAATTTACGTCCCCGGCAGCCTTGTAAATGTTATTTCTCGGGTTCGTTGGCGCCTTAAGTGAGGAGTTGCAAAATACGATTATTCGAACGCGAACACTATGGAGTACCTGTTTTGTAATTCCTGGCCGAGCCCCCTAACCCGTTACAATTCTACGAACAATGTTGCTGGAGTTCCGTTAACGCGTTAAGTCCCAGTTTATCAAGTTTATCGAGCATTGCGTAGCTTTCGTTTACTTCATCGATGCAGGTTCGATCAATATTCGTATTGTTATTGTGAAACGTCCAGCGATGGCGCCGCAAAAGTCACGCGCCTGGCTTCATCGTTCATATTAAACCAGCCTACGCTGGAAAATTCTACGTCCGACAGCTTCGATCAGGTTTATCGACAAATACTTTGCACGGATTGCGAACAAGATTAATTGAATGCCACGGTACGAGAAAACGCTTTTATCAAATCAATTTAGTAACTTTCTTGTTAAAGTTTGGGTCCAGAGGTGCGAGAATGCATAGTTAGATTGTTATTAATTCGCAGTAAGTATTTTAAGAGTTTCGTGGAACATGGCTGACTCGTCTGACTATTATTCGCTGTTTCTACTTCTGGCCCTCGTAGACGACGATCGTGGTACAGCGTTATCCACTTTAATTGGGTGTAATTATTTAGAAGGAGGCTTGATGGAAGGAGATGATACTGCTTTTAATATTTACTATCGTCGACGTAAATAGAAATAGCGAGCAACGGACGGACGCGGGGTTTAAAAATCGATTTCCTCGAGTACCAAGCTCCCTCGAATCTCCATAATTCGATATCTATTTCTATAGAATAAATCAATCTTTCAAAACCTATTTTATCCTATTGTACCCCGTCCAAATCAATGGTAGCCCCGAAATTTAGTAATCTGCCATAGCGAACGTGTTATTCATCCCCCGGGGAAGGGTTGGAAGGGACGTTGTACATCGAGAAGTCGAGGGTTGCGAAGGTAATGTCGCGTGCGGTTTTGGCGGCGATACTGGCCGATTTCGTCGCCATCGCCATCGATAATCTGGCCAGCCGGGTTGTTGTCGGAAATCATCGTAAATCTGGAAAGCCGTGGAGGCCGATTTAGCCCCGCGTCGCGACCGCAGCTTCGATCGATGCCCCGCGGTGACCCCTCCGCGCCTTTACTCGGTTTCTGTCTCGCGATAACGATCCGGGGCTAACCTAACACAGACTCCCCACGTTGAAATTTCGATTCTGATTCGCGCCAGACGCCGTTGATTTACCGGTTTCACCCACCCCCCGAGTTTACGTCGGGATTTTATAGTTGACCTTTCCCCCGTGGCGTGACCGCCGCCGAAGGCCTTTGACTTTCTTAGCCATGGCGCGGAATTTCACCCACAGAACGGCCCTTTTCACCTTCCATAATTAATGGAACGTTCCCGACGCGTTAAAAACGCCGCGCGTCGTGTAACCGCGTCGCACGGTATTTTTCCGAGGCGATAAACATCTGTAATTGTAGCATTTGTTAAACGGTGAGTCGCGACGCGGGATCGTAAAATTTTAAGACGCGCGTATCTTCTCGATAAGGAGTCACCGACGCGTGCATTGCGAAACAGGTTGTCGTTCGTGGGTCGACGGTAAATCAAATTATATAAAACGTTAGAGGCCTTCCCGCTATAGAAAGCCATTTCATCTGTAACGCACTTTGATTTATTCCACGGTCCGTGTCTCGATTTACCCGAGCCGTACGGATCGCGTAACCGTGGGTTAGACGTTGCTGCGACTTTCGATTCGGCTCGAGCGCGGGGATCGTTCCTTCGGGAAACGTTGCTGGAAAGTTCGAAACATTAAAGCAACGAGTTTTTGTTCCCGTCGAGAACGGGTACTTCGGTTTAGGGACGCGTTGGGAGCACGAAAGTTTCCGGACGCGGGTCGGTTAAACTCCGGTCGCGGTTCGCGGATAATTACGCCCGCGTCTTTAACGCTCGTGCCATTATTATCAACGGGAAGATATTTTAGTAGGAGGCTCGTAATAGAAAATAAGAAATTAGCGAGCGGTTTCTGGCGAACGTTAATATCGTTCTCGTCGTTAATTGCGCCGCGGCGATAAAGCGTTTCGGAAGAAACGGGAACGCCGCTGCCGGTACAACTATTACGGTAAATTGTAGTTTCGCAAAGTAATGAGGTATTTGGCAATCGAGCCAACGACACGGCACTCTGGAAGTTAGCGGAGCATGAATTTCTCGGGTCTGGCGACTCGATAAAACGACCAATACACGCGCCCGACTTATCAATCGCGGCGAACACGCCCGAGTTTACGAAACACGCGACACGCGACGATGGCTGTTACGTCGCCATAAGTGTCGTTATTACCCCTTTCCCTCCCTACCCGGGTGGAAATAAAAAAGGAACGAACGATGAGATCCTGTTTACTCACTCTTAGCCGCCCACGGTTTCCCATCCTTCAGGGACTTCAAGAAGAATTCCAAGTCGGCCCTGCAATCGCCCTCGAGTTTTCCGGGTACTCTGGACCACTTTAACGGATCGTAAAGATCCGAAAGCCATTGGATACTGTTCGCCGTTTTCTCGAGCTTCTCCTTCATGAAATCCACGTCCAGATCGCCGCGATCCTCCTCCTTCTTGTCGAACAATTTCAAGTTGTTCTTCCAATCCAATTCCGGATTGTTCTTGCTGAATCCAATTAATCGACCCTGTTCTTTCGGCGTTTCCTCGTCCTTGTAATCGGTGAAGTTCGAGTCGATCGGTTCCGTCGTCTCCGGCAGCTTGTCCCGCGACTTACCCAAACGCAGTATGTTCGATCTATCTTTGGCGATCGTCGTGTGAACCACGCAGCTCAACGTCAGCAGGTAGCAACAAGCTAGGAACCAAGTCATTTTCGAAGGAGGCGCGGTCCGCTTCATGGATTATTCGTATCGCGGAGGATCGACGGGCCTCTTTGACTTCCTCGATCGCGGGTGCTTCATCGATTTCGATAATTCCGATCGCGACGTTTCTCGGGTAATTTTCGTCGGACGATCAATCGTCGAGATCGCCGAGCATGCTTGGTCTGTGGCCGTGGATCGTTGGCTCGAACGCAACAACGGTATTGCGGACTGTTTACGACTCCGGAATGAGACTCACTTTCCTTTTTCACTCGATATATCCTATCAGCCTGGCAATGCTCGACTATATCGTTAAACGTAATTTATATCGTGATTTAAAACGTCTTCGAACGCCTCGTTCGCCGTTTTTAACGAGAACGCGGGGAAATTATTTGTAGATCGTTTGGCACGCTGTCGACGCGATCGTTATCGAAATCGTTGGACAGTTTTTCGTGATGTGGAGGCTGTCCAGTGACGGGAACCAAAATCGACGCACACACGAGGCTAAGGATCACGCACTGAATGAAGCGAATCAACTTAGCAGTCGCGTTCACCCGTGGACAGCGGTCCCTTTCTCTCGACGATGTACTTTACCGTAGTAAATATATTTTCCTTCTTCGGCCACCGTACGCTCGTGCTCCTTGTCTCGTATCCGAACAAATTCCCCGTACATCTAAACTATCGTCCTGCCGCGATCTCCTCCGCGTTTAGGTAACCTTTTTCCTTCGTTATCCTCCGTTTCACGGTCGAGGAAGAAGCAGCTCCGAATCTCCGACCGTGCAAGAAATCTCGTTCGTTATCGACCTGGACAACTTATTAGCCCAACGTCGACGGGGACCGAAGAAATTAATTGGTCGTCACGTTTAAAATTTTCATTATCGAACAATTAAACCCACGGGAAAATAATATTCCATATTTTTGACGATGCATAAATTTACTTTCGAATCGATAGGATTTAGAGGAGTCTTTATTTATTCGGGGCTTAGTTAATCGTTACGCAGAGTTTGAATACTTTCAGTGGAATATTAAAAGAAATTTTTTGTTAATTTCAAGGTTGCCTATTGGCGCCTCGGGGCTTGTGCCACTTTCGTCCACGTTCCATATTTAGATAAAATACAGTTATATTTGACCGAACCTAATTTGTATTTATTATTCACATACGTTTCTCCTGTTGACTGACGTGGTTCTTAACGAAGTAGCTTCAGGTGTTCTAATAGCCAATTTAGAATTCCTTTCCCAGCCATTTTCTGACTTCGATAGAGAGCAAATTGAAATACTGTTTTCTACGTTTCGTGTACCCTAGGCAAACAGCAGAATTCTACTTCTATTTCATCATAAATTTTTATAAAGCAACGTGAAAACTTCCCTCGCTGCCAGTTCGTATATTTCTAAAGTCTTCGTCCCTCCCGTCCGGCTTTTTCTATAATTTCTCGTCCCGAACGAATAAAAGTAGAATTACGTGGCATGTTGCCCGAGTGAAACATCCACCTGTGTACCTAAAGCCAAAAACCAGAATAAATATTTAGTCGAATAGCAAAGAAAACTATATTTTCAATGTGGCCAATATTATATTTATATCGCACGGTCGATGGCCTACATTTTTCAACGAGCGTTCGCTCGATTTTGAACCGTTTCACTTTTCCTCCGCTTCGATCGATCACAGTATTTAGCATAACGCATTATACAACGTTATGAAAATGAAAAAAATCACTGTAAATCATTCCGTTGACTTTGCACGGTCAAGATTTTTTTCTCTTGTTGCAATCAATTCTCTAGTATTGAATATTCTGGTATGTTTACTTTCTCTCTTTATCAATGCATGCGTTGAATCGCATTCTAATACGAGTGCCTACTTTCCATAAATTTCATATCTATTATTTCTAAGCTAGGTATGTTGTTAACTGCACACAACGTGCATGAGGTAACTACCTTATTTCTCTATTGGACTCCGCGTACGTAGGAAAATCCGAAGACACGTGACACCGAAATGAAACGGACAGGCTTTGCAAATATATTTAATGACACGATGCAATTTCCTCTGTTCTTCTGCTTCCAATATTGTAAAATTATAGACAGCTACTTTACAGTCTGTAATACATTTCTACGTTCTCTAAATTGATTTATTTTCAAAATTGATCGCTCCATCGAGACGTAAGAAATTGCCAACGAACAAAGTTGCGAAATGTTAAATGTAGTTCCATCGTTCGGACCCAAAGTTTGTGATTATTTCTCTAAAAAGTCGCTCGCAATCGACGCTTCTCGTTCTTTGGTAATACTCGCTTCTTGCGAAAGTCATTATCGTTCCCCGGTACAGTTATTAAACGAGGATACTGTCGTAATACGAGGAATGGCATGTAAGTTTCCTATGCCATAATTCATAGGTTCTACTCGCGAACGCAAATACTTTTTCCTGCATTAACAATGTTTGTAGAAAGCGTAGATGCACTGATGTAAATTATTGCTCGCGTTACAGGCACTAAAGGGGCTCGTTAATGCTTTATCGCGACGCTAACCACGCGAAGTGCCATTTTATCTTTTATTCGCGACTCCGTAATTCCTTCGGTAATCAGAAATTTTATTTCATTGATGAATTCCATTTGATGTGATAATAATGGAAGATTCTAGAGGCCAAAATAAGACGAAAATCAAGAATATCAATTTCTTGATCGAGGCCTCATGAAAAACTTATTAAAAAATTAAAATAAAAAATTTCAAATCGTTCTAAAAAAATTATTTTCGTTTGTGGGGGCCAATTACAATCATTTTTGGTGAATAGACATACCCCCGAAATCCTACGCAGTTTCGAGAAAAAAATTCGAGTAGGTGCCTAAATTTTTCGACGAATTTGAAAAATTTCATATCGTTCTAAAAAAATTATTTTTGGTTGCAGGGGCCAACAACGATCATTTCTGGTCAACACACTTACCCTCGAAATCCTACGTACTTTCGAGAAAAAAATTCGAGTAGACAGAAATTCGGTCACAGACGGTCGGGGATCGACGAATCGTAGATTTTTACGTTTACCAAGCTCGACGCGTTGCTATACCTTCGTGTGGGTCCAGGATAAGGATATAAAGGACTATTTCCATGATGCTGACGGGGATAAAAGTTCCCTTCCAGCTCGTGACCTTTCTTTCCAGCCCATTCACCGTAAATTACGCCGTTTATACGGTTCGTTTTTGACGTTGACAGCTCCCTTAAAGAGTCACAAATCCGGGGAAACAACGGTCCGCGAAAATTCAGCTTTCGTTTTCCGCGAATATGTTGAACCGATCCACCGTGGCCACCTGTTTCGCTTTGGCTCCCTCGGGGTAGCTTTCGAGGCGGACGCAAAAGTTCGACGATTCTTCTTTTCCTCGCGAATAAACGAATGGAAACGTTTTATCGCGCCCGTTCCTACAAAGGAAAACATTTAACGAAGTCGAGAGTGGCACTCTACGTTTCCGACTCTCCTCGGCGAAATCGTGTTCTCCGATTGCGAGTGATTTCTTTGACTCGACGAGGAACGGTTCTTAAAATATGTCTGTACAGAGGAGGACCGTGCATTCTGCAATTATAAATATAATTGCTATCGAATCGGGACTATATTTTCTATTATTTTTAACCGAGAATTCCGTCGTCGAATCTTAATAATTTCCAGGAAAGCATCTCGCAACGCTTTACGTAACTGTTCGCCGGTGTGTTCGTTTAAAAAATGCGACAATTCGCGGATAATGTTGCTAATTGCTGGGTAAACGTTCTTATTAGCGACCTCCTTTCCTCTATCGAACGGTCACTTTTACTTTTGCCCGGTACCTTTCTCGCGATTCAGATATCTCGCGTCACCGTCTGCCTCTTCGTTGGCGAAACGAGGCGATTCGATGCCCTAAAAGTTCGATTTCGGTTCGTCAACGTCGATTAGGTAAACCACGGGAGCGCAGCTGTCGCTGATTTTCACTTTTATTCGGGTGTTTACATAACGCGACCGCTTGTAAAATCGCTGCACGCGATTCTCGTCTCCCCGTTGGAGTTTCACCGAATTTCTCGGCCCGTTCATCCTTCGTTTCCTGGTTCGTCGTCGACTGTCCGGCACGGAAACTGCCTCTCGAGGAGATCCGGTTATCCGTTACGCAACAGAGCTTTCTACGTGATCGACCACACTTGCGTGCACATACTCGCAACGTTACAACCGGTCCACGTTCGCAAACCATGAGCTGGATCTCCCAGGCACCGTTGTATCGGCTTCGAAAACCCGAGAAAGCAATCTATCCTCGATTCGAGGCGTTCGCTACCAGCAACAGCTTTCGCGAGCACCGATTACAGGATTCACCCAAAAATTAGGCGACCTTTTGGCATATATTTTCAATCTTTTGGTAGATCTTTATTTGCGTTCAAGCATGTTACATAAATTTTTGGACGAAAAGTGATATCCATTTTGGTCCTGTTGTGATATATTATACGGAGATACGCGGAGCAATGGCGTCTCGTAAACCTCGTTGGCAACTTCGCGCGGCCGTCTGAAACAAAACAGGAACACAGATTTCTCATCTCCGCACGTTCCTTTCGTAGCTGCGAGTGAAATAAATTCCGAGGAATGGCAACGAAATAATTCATTTTAGCGCGCGGCTTTGCAACTTTCGTCCGCGATAAGAAGTTCTACACGCGCCAAAAGTGGAAAGACCGATAAAGGCGCGTTCGCTTTACGAGCGTGCCAAAGTTCGAGATGATCGAACGAGCAGTTCTTCAAACGTTTAGTCGAGACCAGCTTGAGAGATGCGGTCTCGAGAAAAACGACTCGAAAGTTTGAAGTAGCAATAAGAGATACTTACAGCTGGCCGTAATTAATCTGCTATTTCAGCTACGTATCGTGCTCTTCTCCAAAATACCCATTTAGAGCCGCTTGATCTCCTCCAGGGGCTGTTCTCGTTTCATTAGCCCTCTCACAGCTCTCGTAAATCATTCTATCTTCCAAAGGAGGAATGAATTTGTTTGTCTCGCGTTTCTTGGTAACAAATTCGACGCGGTTTCGACGA